ATAACAAGTAAATAAATATAAATATAAATATAAATATGCGTGTATAGATGCATATTTATATATATATAAATATATGAATATACATATAAATATATAGATATATAGATAAAGATAAGGGTTTAGGGTTTAGGGTTTAGGGTTTAGGGTTTAGGGTGAACCTGATGAATAAATTGATGAACAGGTAATCTCCATAGTCTCCTTGCTATCCAACAAGACTTAGCAGGATCTGTATTTATTTCTCCCTTATTATTAGTAATAAAGGAGACAGTTAATAAGGAGACAATCTTATTACGTAATATATTTCTTATATATATATTATTATATAATTTTTTTGCTTCTTGCTGCAGCAGCAGACACAGCACTTGCTGCCCACAAGAAAAAGGGCGACGTATATATTGTGCTGCCCATGCTGCAGCAGATAATTCTAATTGTAGTTCGCTTCCTGCTGCTCCTGCTGCTCCTGCTGCACCTGCTGCTGCTGCTGCTGCTGCTACTGCTGCAGCAGAACCTATACGACAACCTCCACTACCTCCTCCTGCTGCTGCTGCACCTGCACCTGCTGCTGCTGCTGCTGCTGCTGCTGTTACCTCTCCTTCAGATACTAATGGTATATAAGGAGGGGGACATCTTGGCTGCTGCAGCAGCAGCAGCAAATCATTATTATTATTATTATTATTATTATTATTATTATTATTATTATTATTATTATTATTATTATTTATAGGTATAATAGGTGTCTCCTTATCTATAAGGAGACACTTAATATTATTAACAAAGGAAGTACTATCTAATAAATAAGGAGACAATACATCAGATAAACCGTAACGATGTCCTAGCTGCAGCAGCAACAGCAGCAACAGCAGCAACAGCAGCAACAGCAGCAACAGCAACAGCAGCAACAGCACACAGGAGGAGAGGAAAATATAAATATTCAATAATGTAATAAACACAAGAAAGCAGCAGCAGCAGCAGCAACAGCAGCAGCAGCAGCAACAGCAGCACTCTATGCGACTATACTCTCCTGATTCAGTAGCAGCAACAACAGCAGCAGCAACAGCAGCAGCAACAACAGCAGGAATATGCTGCTGCTGCTGCTGTTTATGTATTAATGCATGCAGCAGCAGCATACCTCTATAGCATCTGCAGGAGATATATCCTTATAGGCAAGAGGTTTATTTGCTGCTGCTGCTGCTGCTGCTGCTGCTTCTGCTTCTGCCCATTCTTCTTCCTCTGCTTCTGCCAGCAGCTGCTGCAGCTCTGCTTCCTCTCTTGCTGCTGCAGCAAGTTGATCCTCTGTTAGCTCATAGGGGGCCCTATGGGGCCTCCTGTACCCTGTGGGGCCCCGGCCCCACCCACTGCTGCTGCTGCTGCTGCTGCTGCTGCTGCTCCAGTGGCTGCTGCTACTGCTACTGCTGCTGCTGCTTCTCCAGTTGCTGGTGCTGCTGCTGCTACTGCTACTGCTGCTGCTGCTCCAGTTGCTGCTGCTAGGGCGACCATCTACAGCCATGGACCCACCATCTGCTGCTGCTGCTGCTGATTGAGAGAAAGTGTCTCCGTAGTATTCTGCTGCTGCTGCTGCTGCTACTGCAGCAGCAGATAGACCACCAGGAGACCGTGTCTTTGCTGCTGTTGTTGCCCCTGCTGCTCCTGCTGCTGTTGATGCAGCTGTTGCTGCTGGCTGATCTACAGCTGTTCCTCCTGCTGCTGTTGCTGCTGCTGCAGTGTCTTGGGAGTCAGGTACACCAAAATATTCTGCTGCTGCTGCTGCTGCTATTGCTGCAGCAGATAAACCCCTCTTCTGTCCCCCAGCTGCTGCTGCTGCTGCTGGCTTCGGCTCGCGCTGCCCCCAACGAGAAGAGAAGGGCCTAGCAGCAGCACCTTTTGTGCTGCTGCTGCTGCTGCTGCTGTCTCCAGTATCGGCTTCTCTTGACTGTCTCTCGCCCTCTTGCTGCTGCTGCTGTTGCTGCTGCTGCTGCTGCTGCTGCTGCGGTGGCATGTCCCACTTAGAAGCATGAGGTCGGGAGGAAGGCGGTGTAGTTGCTGCAGGAGAAACATCTGTTGCAGCTGCTGCTGCTGCTTCTGCTGCTGCTGCTGTTGCTGCTGCTGTTGCTGCTGCAGCTGCTTCTGCTGCTGCAGCAGCTGAGTCCGTTAGGACGGTACCTTCAACGTTGTGTCCGTCTGCTGCTGCTGCTTCTGCTGCAGTCTGTTGCAGAGCATCAACAAGAGCAGCACCATCATCAGCATTTGCTGCTTCCCCATGTTGCTGTTCAAGTGCTGCTGCATCTGCATCTGCTGCTGCTGCTGTTGCTGCTGCTGCTGCTGCTGCAGCTTCTGCTGCAGCTTCTGCTGCTTCTGCTGCTTCCGGAGGCAGCTGCTGCAGCACCTCTTCTTCACGAAATAGATGAGAGGTTCCTGACGGCTCCTCTATATCCATTTGCTCCTGCTGCTGCTGCTGCGGCGGCAGCTGCAGTTGCTGCTGCTTCTGCTGCTGCAGCGGCTG